TCGCTATCCTAGTAACTGTAATGGTTATAATGTTAAACACGATTTTTAAAGACATGAACCGGTAAGCCAGCGGAAGTTCTCGGTCAGATGACCAAAAGCTCCAGTTGTGGGTCTTCATATGACTAAGACCTGCGTCACGAAACATTGTCCTGTTTCCTGACAAACATTATACGTAACATCCAATGATTACTTAGCGTTCACATGAGACAATGCCTTATATGAACACTCGGGAGGTTCTGTTGGTCAATAAGGGCATCAACCGTTGAAAGATTCTAGCCCCTTGCAAAGGACACAACCCACATGCGCTTAGCACAGTTTTTTCCGCATCCCCCTTTGGTCCTTGTTAACTTTGGTTACTCTAGTGTATTATCCAGCGTCAGAATTCCATAAGCAGACGAGGAGGTGGGATACTGTCAGAGGCGCCTTTGAGGTCATCAGACAGATCAATGAAAACCTGGTTTCTGACAACAGATGAGAGTTCCGAGCACAGTATTTGTTCCCAGGCTGACCACTGAACTCTCAAGCCAACACTGAGGAATGGTGCCAGACTCTTGTTGTAAAAGTTATGTAGATTACGAGTTGATAATAGTCGTCCCTTGACCAACCTAGGCTGCTCTTATTATTATTTTATTATTATTATTATTATTATTATTATTATTATTATTATTATTATTATTATTATTACTATTATTATTATTATTATTATTATTATTATTATTATTATTATTATTATTATTATTATTATTATTATTATTACTATTATTATTATTATTATTATATTATTATTATTATTATTATTATTATTATTATTATTACTATTTATTATTATATTATTATTATTATTATTATTATTATTATTTATTATTATTATTTTATTATTATTATTATTATTATTATTATTATTATTATTATTACATTTATGAGGGGAGCTCTAAATCCATAGGGATCATACAGCACCTGGGAGAACTGGAGGCAATCAGTTTCGATCCAATGAAGGTCAGGTAATTTTCCTTGGATCAAGAGCTTCTCCTCTTCATTTATACGCCGTATACACCGTAGGTAATATAATGCAGAGTAGTAATATACACGTAGGTAATATAATATACACCGTGGGTAATGTAACATACACCGTGGGTAATATAATATACACCGTGGGTAATATAATATACAACCGTGGGTAATATAATATACACCGTGGGTAATATAATATACACCGTGGGTAATATAATATACATCGTGGGTAATGTAACATACACCGTGGGTAATATAATATACACCGTGGGTAATATAATATACACCGTGGGTAATATAATATACACCGTGGGTAATATAATATACACCGTGGGTAATATAATATACATCGTGGGTAATATAATATACACCGTGGGTAATGTAACATACACCGTGGGTAATATAATATACACCGTGGGTAATATAATATACATCGTGGGTAATATAATATACACCGTGGGTAATGTAACATACACCGTGGGTAATATATAATATACACCGTGGGTAATATAATATACATCGTGGGTAATATAATATACACGTGGGTAATGTAACATACACCGTGGGTAATATAATATACAACCGTGGGTAATATAATATACACCGTGGGTAATATAATTACATCGTGGGTAATATAATATACACCGTGGGTAATGTAATATACACCGTGGGTAATATAATATACACCGTGGGTAATATAATATACATCGTGGGTAATATAATATACACCGTGGGTAATGTAACATACACCGTGGGTAATATAATATACACCGTGGGTAATATAATATACATCGTGGGTAATATATATACACCTTGGGGTAATGTAATATACACCGTGGGTAATATAATATACACCGTGGTTAATATAATATACACCGTGGGTAATGTAATATACATCGTGGGTAATATAATGTACACCGTGGGTAATGTAATATACATCGTGGGTAATATAATATACACCGTGGGTAATGTAACATACACCGTGGGTAATATAATATACACCGTGGGTAATATAATATACATCGTGGGTAATATAATATACACCCTGGGTAATGTAATATACACCGTGGGTAATATAATATACACCGTGGTTAATACAATATACACCGTGGGTAATGTAATATACATCGTGGGTAATATAATATACACCGTGGGTAATGTAATATACATCGTGGGTAATATAATATACATCGTGCGTAATATAATATACATCGTGGGTAATATAATATGCATCATGGGTAATATAATATACATCGTGGGTAATATAATATGCATCATGGGTAATATAATATACACCGTGGGTAATATAATATATTGAAAAAGCCCACTGTGTGGGTGAAACGTTGTCAATAAAGGATCACATTATACTGCATATGTGTTTATATTTCCATTGTGTCGGTATTTTATACCATTTATTTCCATGATACAGTGAAGTACAAAAGAATACAGTAAAGTGCAACATGCCAAAGCCACTTGTATGCAGAGCATT